ATATGGTGTAAAATTGTATTCTGTTAGGACCCTGGGTCGACGACATCGCAATGGCATGGTAGTAAGCCTAAGGTTGACTATCAGGGCAGGAGTTGGATCGAATGTCCACCACAACAGACTAAAAAGCAACAGAGGGTAATATTGGCAGCTGTTTTTGGGAGGCGTATGTCTTACTTTACTGCATACAGGCCAAGCAGATGGAGTATATTGAGGATGAGGACGATTATAGGAATAAGACATGTTACCTGCCCAAGAAGTGGATATGTACTTGGGAGGGGCACACTCAAGGAGTGCAGGCGGTAGTGATGGGAAAAAGGAAGGACTTAGGTTGATGGTCGTGTTGGTAGATACGATTTTTCCCGAAGACAGCTCATCTGCTGGCGTCTGCTGGTTTGGACGGTACTGTTAAGATTTGGGACTATTATAACGCTAGGGCGTGTCGCATTACGTATACAGGACATGAGAAGGGGGTTAGAGATGTGGGTATCAGTACAGGTGTTGGAAGTTTCACTGCGCCATGAAATTCAGGTCCAGTTTATCGGGGACGGTACCAAGTTCGTGTCCTGTTCGTATGATCATCATGTCAACTACTGGGATACCGAGACAGGGAAAATTATAAGGAAATTCGACCTCGGCAGTAGTTGCTATAATCTAGCGGTAATAGAGTATATGCAGTGGTTGGGAACTCACACGTCGTAGGTGCATCCCACTGAACTGAACTCTTTTGTTGTGGCATGCCACGATAAGAAGGCGGCTCAGTTCGATCTGAACTCCCCCGGGGACGAACCTATACAGTTGTATAAGGATCATCTGCGTGCTGTTAATACGGTTACTATTTGTGACGATGGAAAGAGGTGATGCCTTGCTGCTTGTTCAGAGCTTGACAAGATGATATATTCAGATTGGTGACCACCTCCGATGATAGGAAGATGTTTGTATGGCACTGGGGTATACCAGTGGTGGACAAGTACATAGCCGAGCCTGGCATGTAGGGTTGATGATAGCTTATTATCGTCGGGATATTTGTCATAGGTCTTCGATACCTGCAGTGACACTTCATCCTAGTCAGAAGTTCATGGCATGTCAGTCAATGAACAATCAGATAGTGGTCTATCAGGCTTACGGTGGTTTCAAGTATGCGATGTGGGCTTTGTAATGGTATCGATAGTTAGCTGTTATCAGGTTGCAAGGTCGGAAACGCTTCACTGGCTTCAACAATGCTGGATACGCAATCGAACCTGGGTTCTCAGCTGACGGAAGGTAGCTACCGTTTGTGTGTGCTTGAGTTTATCTTTGCCTAGGTATATTATGTCGGGAGATGGGGATGGGCGGTTACACTTCTGGGATTGGAAATCGTGCAAACTGTAAGAAAGTGGCGTCACTGCTTTGTGACACTACTTGGGTTTCAGGTATCGCACTCTGAAGGCTCATGATGGCTGTTGTGTTTCCTGCCTTTGGCATCCCAACCAGGCCAGTCGAGTGGTGACAGCTGGCTGGGATGGGAAGATTAAGCTGTGGGACTGAGCTTCCTACTCTCAGAAACGAAGTACAGTGATAGTAGATAGAGCGAGAAGAAAACGATTGTGGTTTCCCTTGTTCACATTTAACGTCTGTTTGGGTCCCGACCGTGGAAAGGTTGCGTTTCATGAGTCTGGCATTAGGACTTCACTGTGCTTGAATGTCGTTGTCTCATATTACGATCGGTTGCATTATTGGTTCATCCATGGTGATTGTTATCAAGCAGGGTGAGTCGTAGCGTAGGGTAGTAGCCCTGGTCGTAAGCGGCCTAACATGTTCTGTTGTAATTATGTCTAATATAGTAGTGCAAGATCTTCTCATGTGACACGGAAACCTGAATGGGTGATGTTCGTGCCAGCGTAAACCCCATGTATGTGTGCGAATCGTACAGTGGTAGGGATAATGACCTCCGAAGAATAGAACTCGATACACGTCAAGTGAGTAGTGATAGGCTCGTACCAGAGCGGACGCACAATAGAATGGGTCATATCGCAATACATAACTACTGTATATGTACGTACAGGCCTCCCCACCGAACTGAAGCTACAATAATTACAATTGTTTCATGCATGATATGGGGACAGACGCACGTCACAGATTGTGCGGATGAAAGAGATTAGATACATCCGATATCCGCGTCTCAAGCATACACGTGGAAGGCAAGAGAAATTCCGGGTTGCAGAAAACAGGATCATATCTCGACAACAGAAGGTGTCCCTCGTACAAACAAGCGCAGCACATTGTCCGACCAGCAGTGAATGCCTGACCATTCATGCATGGCTCGATGACATGATTTTGCGCTCTTATTTGAATTTGCCAGGTTAGTTTTGTAGAGGGATTGTTGCCATGCTTACCATCTTAACGACAGTGTCCAACGATCTGGACGACAATTCACGATGTACAAGGGAAGATCAAGAATATACTAAAATTTCTCGTACAGCATTATCTAAGCCAAATATGTTACCATCATAATCAACCAAGTCATAATCAAACCAGCAAGTTTGGAGCAAATTCTTCAAACATGAGTTGATGCTCCTTTTGACAGTTCCTTCGTACCTTTTATCCACATACCATTGAGGAAAGGAACATGATATACTCGACGACTACACTTATAAGAAGACTTCTAACCGCAAGTTATTTTCGCAATTGTGGCTACCTCTAGGGAAGAACTGCGACTCTATTGTGAATACTTCCATCTTCCACAGGCGTTTGGCCGAAGAGTTGCGGTTTAGACACCACATGCATATAATTTGCCGTAGATATACAGTATACAATTCAACCCACTGAACGCTACACCATCCAACAGAAAAACGGCGCCCTGGTTTAAACCCTGATGCACAGAGTTACACCTGCCCAAAACGGTCTTTACTTATAAGGGTGACATCACGCTCATATCATTCTCCACAAACTTACAACTCTTCATCCTCCGACTCCTAACGAACACCAAGCCAATCGAAACATCATGATAGACTCCTCGATTTACCTTCGACATTTCGTTGTCAGGTTCGAGTTCTTCCTCTTCTCCTATAGTTGTAGAGTCGTCACTTTCCTCCTCAGCTGGCGGCTCCTCGACCTCCTCTTCATCCTCGGGTACTTCCACCTGCACCAACAATACTCCCTAACAACCACACTGATTCACATCGTACTTCGGCCACAGGGGTGTTGGGATCAACGCCGAGCGACTGACTCATGAGAGAGTACACCTGTACAGCAGAGTAAATAGGCGCCACAAGCATACCAACCATCGATCACCTTCTTCACGAGCGTATGAGGATCGAGAATCTCGTATCCAGAGTCGAGCATTGCCGCTTGGAAAAGTACAACAGCAGTGTCTTCAGCGTTTGTATCCGCCTTGTCCTCGTTAACCTACAACGAGATGATGAGGTTATAAATTAGAGAGCGGTTAACCATACCTTCACGAGGAGGTCCTTGATAACCGGATGATCCGGATTGAGTTCTAATGTACGACGACCGATCATCATATTAAGTTGGGTCTTATCCTGGAAAGACTGAGCTCTCACCACCCTCTCCTGCTGAGGCGTGTACCTAACATCAATCCACAAATCATACCAATGTCATTCTCAGCGACCGAACCCACCCGAACTGATCCGAGACGACAACACAGGGAGCATCAACAAGACGCTTGGAGATTTTGACACTCTCCACACCGTAGTTATAGTTGGCTTGAGGGTCCTTCTCAGAGGCCTTCGTTAAGATGTCCTTATACCACTTCGTCAACGGCTTGTACCTTGCACACTCAGGAATAACTAAACCAACTACGACCGAGGACGATACATCTTCTGGAGTTTTGAGAAACGCTTCTTGTCGTCCTCGGTTTCCTCGAGCTTCACATCAGCCTTCTGAATCGAAACAAGCTTCTTGCCATCGTAATCAGTGAGACGCTGCATGCCTATATAATCAATCCCATAATGTCAACACTCATTCGTTGTAAGAGTGTTTACAAGGCTCATCCAAATGGTTGTCGAGGAGCAGCACTTCGATACCCTTTTTGTTGAAGATCTGCAGCGAGGGATTCTTCACCATAACCTGGCGAGAAGAGTCCAGTTGACATCGTGAAACATGAACTGGTCTCTAGTACGTCGATAGAATCGCCACTCATGTAATAGATCGAGTCCTGGTTCTCGTCCATATTTTCAATATACCTGAAACAAGCGAATACCGTACATAACAACGTATATTCACGTTTCATCACTTGTCCAGGGAGATGGACTTATCGCCACTTTTGGTCGTCCTGAAACGCAACAACTTCGCAATCTTCGATCGGTTAGCGTCATCTTCGAAGCAGCCCAGCTTGAGGTTATCCGCGAATGACGAATAGAACTTATCTAAGTGAATCACACCTGACTGGCATGCTCGCTTACTGCTTGCCTCACCCCAGTCGGTCTCCTTGTCCTTCGAAGATTTATCTTTCTCCTCCGTCTCAGCGGCCTCGTCAACCTTAGCCTGCTCTGCCTTCAATTTCTCGTCTTCCTAGCAGAGACATGAAGAGGACTCTCAGCGTGGTACGAACCGGTACCATAGCCAACTTCTTGATCATCTCCAAAACCTTCCGTACTAGCTTCTTCGAGATGACCTTTAAAATCTTGTTCTGTTGGAGCTGCTCACGCGACACCTATAAAAAAGCATCAGTTTCGATTGAACGAGGAAGAGGCTGCTCACGTTGAGAGGAAGATCATCAGAATCAACAACACCTGTGATGAAATTGAGGTAACGAGGAAGAAGTTCGTCGAACTTATCAGCAACCAAAACCTAACAAATGGAGCAATCCCGACCATGCTTACATTCCGGACAGTATATACAGTAGAATGACAACGACGACTTACACGGCGCACGTATAGCTTGATCTCAGACTTCTTCTCCCAGTAGTTCTGCATGAAGTTGTAAGGAGTCCTCTTAGGAACAAATAGAATAGCCTTGAATTCGATCTCTCCTTCAGCACTAAAGTGCGTATAGGCCAGTGGCCCCGCATGGTCCTTAGCGATCGCCTGTGATGCACCGAGATAACGAGTCTGCATCCGTGTGCCTCCATGCCAGCCTACCATATAGAACTGCTCATAGTCTTCGTCCGTAATATCCTCCTTGTTTCTCAGCCAGAGCGCCTTCTGAGTATTAACCTACAAATAGCACGATCGCCTCCAGCTGTTACTACAGGCGGTGACCTCACCTGCTCGTAGTCGTACACAGTCTGCTTCTTCCTAGTCTTTTCCTTCTCCTTATCCTCTTCCTCGCTCTCATCTTCCTCCTTAACCTCGACCTGAGGTGACATAGGTAACATATTTTGCACTTGATTGTTCCACTAACGTCAGAGTCCTCCTTCTGGGATTCATCAGACTCTTCCTCGTCCTCATCGAGATCGGCTTCAACCTCCTTTTTGGTCTTCAACGAGATGGAGTAAGGAACGAACTGGGAGTACTTCGTGGCAAGGTCCTTCAGGCGGCTCTGAAATGGCAAATCTACAACTCCAAGCAAGGCGAAAGCAACCGTTGAGAGTGTTTCGCGACGCGACGCATCGTATATTATAAAAGGAGCAAGTTCCTTACCTCCTCGAGATACTCGTGGGCATCTTCCTTGAGGTGAAGCGTAATCTCAGTTCCACGGCCTAGAGTGTCACCACGTGGATCAGGGCCCACAGAAAAACTAGCGTCTGCACTAGACTCCCAGATGTGCTGCTCGGGGTCGTCGTTATTCTTAGACGCGACAGAAACCTTATCCGCGACAAGGAAAGCCGAGTAAAAACCAACACCGAATTGCCCAATCAGATTGGCGTCCGAACCTACATAACATCATAAGGCTTGCGCACAAGCTGGAGCATCTCACCACCCTCGGCCATGGCCTCGAGGAAGTTGCTGGTACCGGACTTGGCAACAGTACCGAGATTGTTAATGAGGTCGGCCTTAGTCATACCAACACCCGAATCGGTGATAGTCAACGTGTTGGCGTTCTCATCGTAGTCGATCTTGATATCCAACTCGGGTTTCTCCTTCAAATAATCGGGGTCTTGAAGACTGTTGTACCTGAGTTGGCACTAAGTACGATCGAAGAGCGCCAAGACAGCGCAGCCCACCTCGCCTTCTCGAGAGCATCGTTGGCGTTGGAGATGAGCTCGCGGAGGAAAACCTCTTTATGGGTGTAAAGAGAATTTATGATGATGTCCATCAACCTGCTCACTTCAGCCTACAATTGAGATTCGCTTACTGTCAGCAACAACCTCGATAAGCCCTACTTGGAACTCATGCTTCTCGGCATGGTCTTCGTACTCAGCGGCGAGGTCCTGGGTGCTACCGACAGCTGAAATGAGGTAAGGCGGTAGGGATAGATCAAACCCACGAGTAGGACGTACAAGCTTTCTCCTCGGCGAAAACTGCCACAAGGGGTAGTAATAGGACGGCGAATAATCGTTGGAAGCGCATACACGCAAAAAATGGATAAAACTTTACGGCCACGGCTGAATCGTCATGATAGTAGACAGACGTGCAATCGTTAATCGCCGTGAACATATCTTTTCCCAGATATCTTTTAGCACGCACTCGGGGAATGTTAATCTCGCTACGCCATCGTAAGCGATACCAACAAATTTGTTTCGGATGGAGTCTATAGACTAGGGAGCACATCCGACTTCGGCAGATCAACCTGCGTTTTATGTTTTTAGTAGAGGTGACCAACTAGTCGGAAACAACTATTTACGTGACTAGCTCGATAATATAAAACTAGCCTTATTGCTGATTTTTTACTTAGGTGTGTCGGCACTTGCACTCGAACACTTCTTCCAATCAACATCGATAGCAGCACTCTTCTCATTCATCTGGATGAACGGTAAAATTAGAAATAGAGTTATCTAGCGCCATCTCAAATTGTGTGATTTGTCGGGAATGCTTTCTCTCACGACGAGTGACCCGAGGCAGTCGACGGTTCTAGACCTGCACTTGTTTCTCTGACTTTCCCCTCACTAGTACTCTGCTAGTGAAAGCGTTATAACTCTATAGTGAAGTCGATCGTGTTTGCCAGCTCGTGATCGTTTCTCTTCACAGTAGAGGTATTCCTCTGTTACATTAATTTCAAAGCGTTTTATCAATGGGAAATTGCGCTTGCCTCGGTAGCAAACACGAGACACCTCAAGAGCCTACTGACGGCGCAGCATCAGCGCCTACAAGGCCACCCAAGGAGACTGCTGGTGCCGCGGCTACTCAGGATGCCTCAGCGGGAGCAGCGGCGGCGGCGAACGCAGCAGGTAACTCTCACAACGCGACACTAGCAGTAGTAGCCCCCGGCGGCGGCGAGCACTAGCTACTTCCCAGGGGACACGGCTGCTTCAGGTGCTGCTGCTGCTGATCAGCGACAAGGTGGTGCCTCCTCGGCCACTGCTGCTGCTGCTGATAACAGTAGGACTGCGATCCCGCATGCTCATGGCTTCCAGCTGTGGCTTTTGTTGAGGTGCTCTGCCCTTCTCAGGTGCCGCGAACGGTGAAGTAGCAGCAGGAGGTACTGCTCGTGAGAAGAGGGCGCCTTTCAAGTGTGAAAACGGTGCCATGTAATTGTCACCTTCGCCTTGTGTACTTTCTCACAACCTCCCCCCCTGTAGATATACCGGTGAGTGGACAGGCAACTCTCGCGATGGATTTGGAGTACAAGTATGGCCCGATGGCGCCAAGTACGAAGGGGAATGGAAAAGCGACAAGGCTTGTGGAAAGGGTAAGCGCCATCGTAACAACTCAGATTGTTAATAGCCTATTGGGGTAGGCAAGTTCACTCATGCTGATGGTGATATCTACGATGGTGAGTGGAAGGACGACAAGGCGGATGGTCAGGGTACTTACTATCACGCCGACGGCAGCAAGTAGTAGAACTGAAGCCTACTTAAGGGACTATTGATGTAGGTATACAGGGCAGTGGAAAGATGATAAGCAAGATGGCTTTGGTCGTGAGGACTGGCCTGATGGAGCTACGTATGAAGGAGAGTACAAGAACGGCAAGAAGGTTGGTGAATTAGGTTGCTACTATCAGTTTTACTGTGTACTCTTTAGGATGGCCATGGACGATTCTCCTGGACGGATAACTCTGTTTATGAGGGCTCTTTTGTAAACAATGACATAGAAGGCTATGGAACCTATAGTTGGGGTACTATAACTATCGCTTGAGGCAAACCTACGATGTTGTTCATAAGGTGATGGCCGCAAGTATGAAGGTGAATGGAAAGACAATCGTATGCACGGCAAGGGAACATTCATCTGGGTCGATGGACGGAAGTAGTATTACTCTGCTTATGCTTAAATCTTTACACTTGCACTACTCACATGTTAGATATGAAGGGCAGTACGTGAATGACCAGAAGGATGGTCAAGGCGTATTCACATGGCCGGATGGGCGCCGGTAAGGTTAGTGACTATCATTGTTGGTTCTTTCATGTTGGCTCTTCCTTTAAGATATGAAGGAGGCTGGAAGGCCGGCAAGCAGAATGGACGTGGCATCTATCGAACGGCTAAGGGAGAGGTAATTTCTGGTGATACCCAAAACTGTTGAAGTTCCGGTTCAGGTTCGGGAAGGCGAGTGGGACGACGGTCACAGAGTGCGCTGGCTAGGACCTCCTCATGTATTGCCTTGATGAGTTATCGTTAGTAAATAGTGATGTCAATTTAGGCCGCTGAAAGCACCGAGGCCGAGGCCCCTAAGGATACCTCTGCTGTAGCAGCAGCTGATGACACTCAGCAGCAATAGTGAAGCAGGCTATGTAGATCCGTAACGACAGAGGTATGTTAACTAGACTTCACCTTCCGCGACATCACTACTACCAGGAGTATCAACACTTGAATGCAATCCTCTGCAATGCTGCTGTACTCATTACTACCAACACTAAAATTATACTGGTTTATTTTTCTCTACTTACCGTTGCAATGGTTTGCACTTGAGCTACTCCTGCGATGATAGTCGCCCACGGGGGTGGTGATGGCGTGGCCTTCTTTTACGTCGCATAAGTGTTATTATTTTCGCGATGAGAGCGACTGCCGAAAGCAGCTATGATGAATATTGTCAATACTGTCGCTATGTGCTGCAAACATTCATTGTTTTGTGTTGGTGTAGTAGGGGTTGCTCGAAATTCGAGTTGGGTACCAATTCTGTTTGAAAGCCAGGATTTTGAGAAGAGAGTACTGGCATGGATCGGGGTGTACGAGGGTTGTCTTGGATGATGTTTTCTGGAAAGACATTGGTGGTGGATTTGCCGGATGTGCGTGTAACCGCGAGAGGAAGAGAGTTATGGCGCATACCCCGAGGGCCTGGGGCCAAGGCCGACCTTTGTAAAGCATGGCCAGCAGCAGGACTCGCGGTCTACGGCCACAAAGTTTGATAGAGTATCCCGGCCTTGTTAGCTACGTGGATTGATCGAAAGTAGTGGAGACGCCGTAGTCTCTATATGATTTTTGTCCACTAGCGGAGGAAAAACTGCATCGCAGTTTTTCTGTGCCAGCCTCTACAAAGAACACGAGCTATACAGTATAGCTCCTCAGGAGATTGTGTTGTATCATTGACAATGATTGCTAGCATGCAAAAATGAAAGTCAGTATCTGCTAATGTGTAAGAAAAGCTTGTATTGTATTTAATATCTTTACGTACGAGAGTGACCAGACCACCACTTTTACGGCCTTGTTGTGACCGCTGTCCAGTAGAGGGTAAATGAGTCGCAAGCATGTGCTCGACATTGTAATTACGAAACCTTAACCGTGATTCCTCACCGTGAAAAGTTTCTTGAAGACATACCACATGTGGTGTAGCTCGAGCAATATATCTCTGCAGCTCAAGTTTACCAGTAAACAGGCCATTGATATTATAAGAGATGATTGTCAAGGAAGAATTAGTAGACCTCCGAGGTGACGAAAATGAGGGTACCGATGTAGGGTCCTTTATCAACGGGAAGAGAGAGGATGGGATACTCAGCCGCCACTCAGTCACCACCCGTAGGGTGATAGTCGAGCACGGTATGTTCGGTTTAGCTTCGTGCTAACACTCCCACGCCGCGTTGAGGCGCTAAACCTATGGGAGCTTATCCATGCGTTTCTTGATTGAGCGTTCCTGCAGGGTGAGCGAGATACAAAATACACTCTGCGGAGCAACGTGAATTGTCACAGAGAATCACCATGATACGTGCGCGAACACGCGCGCCCAAAAACTCTGAATTTCACGGAATTTCAAATTTCAGTGACATTTCACGTGAAATTTCGCCTTTGAAATTTCAGCAGCAACATTTCATGAAATCTGCGAGCCCTGTCGTAGTGGTAGCTCCGCTATCACTAGGTAGTCCCATCCAACGGTGATCGTGTCTGCCCTGACTTCTTTATTTCTCTATACTCCCTCGTGCGGTCACACTACGGTCACGCTCCGTCACACTACGGTCACACTCGCTCGTGCGACGCAGAGCGAGTGTGACCGTCACAGTACGTGCGACGTGCGTACACGTGACATGTGGGCCTCGCACCCGAACCTACCCCTTATCGAATCTCTCCTAAGATTCTCTTTCGTCTCTCTATTACATCGATACTCTTACCTTACTTCTACCTTAGATTCGGGTTGATATTAGCTCGGTATTATGAACGACGATAGTGAGAATCTAAGTGTGAGATCATACAGTAGCATCGGGATATGTTTGGATTTCGATAGCGGGTTGTGAACATCCTCTGGTGACTAACTCATCATCTAGTGCCGATGCCAATGTTGGGTTGTTCACCAGAGGTGATTGGCTTGATCAAGAAGACGCTACAGTTCAGTTAGAAGTAATAGCATTATCCGTGAACCTGGATTTATGTCTTGTAGCTTATTTCCAACCTGAGATGGACATATTCCGTTCTCCACTTTTCCCTCTCTACCTATTATCAGGTGTAGTGGGATCTCTCATAAGGGTTCCTATATTATATGAGAAGGTCACGAAAGATGCCGATGTGTATGCCCTAGTTGGAAAAGTAACACTCGGTAGCCACAATGTCTATGGTCTCATTGACACCGGCGCCCCCATAACGTTCTTCCTCTGGAAGCATTGGTATGAGAAGGGTCATCCAGGGAGGTGCAAGGACATCATCTTCGGTTGTTATGAATGCAGCCCTGAAGCTTGCAGGGAGGGAGAAACTTGTACACTACATTTCGGAGATGATTCCGTAGTGAGGATCTTCAAGGAATCTGCAACGGCCCATTTCAGCCAAGCTGTCAGTGCCACTATTACATTCGGTCTGGTTGCTG